GAGGCTGGCTGTGACCACAGAGGTCAGCTGTCTCGATTGTCTGGGCCCGCTGAAGGGAACACACACACACACCGGGTTAACCCCGCGGGTCACGGCTGGTCCTTGGGCCCAGCAGCAATCGGGTTAATGACTGGCCGGATCTCATTCTCTCCACCGCGCAAAGGTGACAAGACACGTAGACAAAACATACAGGAGGATCAGCAACTTTCGCTGCCCCCCACCCAACATTCCTGATACGGACACTAATGAGTCCCCAAGGGAACGCGAGTTGCCGACATAATTCATGTTTGCAAGACACATTTTTCTATAAGCTTGACTATTGCAAATCCATAATGCATGAACGTGAAGCTTTTTGGAGTGGCGACGTTAATGGATTGTCTTGGTGAAACAAAGGGCGAGCCCCTCTTCTCCCTCGCATCTGTCGAGTTCTGTTGCTTATCACGGGGGAGGGCGGGGCAAACTAGTGAGCGTCCATACGACAAACAGGACTAATGGAACTTCTGATACGACTGCGTTTTAACTTAATCATCAAGCCGCCGGTTTATCTTGACCATATCCCATCATGAGTAACCAGTGGGGCTTGATAAGTGAAATCTGACATTAACTTTATTAACTTGGATGACCCGCATGTCACTATTGGGTCTAAAGATCACCGAGATTATCTGGAGGATTAAATAATAGCCTGCAGTTACACTTTTGTCGACTGCCGGGGCAACATCTGGAGGCCACTGCGATCGTATCCGTCTGACAATCGTGTGCATGGTGGAGCTTAGTGCAGAACATCACGCGAGGTGCACAAAAGGTCATCGTTAAACAGCGAGGTTCAATCTGGTCCGAGCACTTCACACGATTTTTTTCGGCCCTTTCTTTTCACGACCAGCCATAATAATGTATCTAATGTGGTGTATCGTTGCTCATTCACCATCTGCACTGCAACGGGAATAAAGCCACGGGGAAGCACACTGTACATCGCGCGCTGCTCCGGCTGAACCGTGTCCGGTGACGGTCAAGCCACACAGGAGGCAGCCAACCGAGGGCTGGAAACCTCTAAACTCCCTCTTGGTGAGCTTACCAGGAACGGCGCGATCAGCGTTTGACTTCTGCCACGAAGCCATCTGCGGATCCAGCAACTTGCCCTCCAGGCCACGGCAGCGTTTTTCCCCTCACTGGTTGGGTGCAGGCATTTCTCTCTCGTGGCGAGAGGGTAGCAAATACAAACACGGGCTGGTGTGGCAGCTAATTGTGCCATTTGTGCCGGAGACAGAAGCCTTCACAAGCCGCATTAACATCTAATTCTGAACAACATAACACATCGGTTGCAACGTGTCCGTCTCTCCTTCGGTAACGCATCGCTTCATGAAATTAATTTCAGCGGCACCACATCTGACCAAACAGGGCGTCCATTCCCCACTAATCTGGGCCTCTTTGAACAGGCTTAACCACTGCAGCTAGAATCAGATTAACCAACGATGCATCCAGAAACAAACAAACAAAGCAGCACACGAGGGCAGTGATTCACATATGTGAAAAAAAAAGAAGAAAAAAAAACACCACAGGCTGCAACGTCTCATTGCGTATCACATAAAGAGCAGGAATATGGCGCCGTGACTGGCTGTTGGGAGTCTTCCTGCAGTTCCCCAGCATGCATACGGCTGTAGGTCAGCAGCCCGAGCCCGCTGTTATGCATGCCTTCTGAAAGCCATGGAGCATGAAAATTCCTATAATGCGCAGTGAAGACAAAAAAGAAAAGAAAAAAAAGAAATGACGCCGAGAGGACTCAAGGCGCTGACCCCGGAGTACTTAAAAGTCACAGGCCCCTTTGGAAGTCCATTTGAGCCTTGCTCGGAGAATCCGAAGTGAGGTTTGTGGTTTATTCCATCGCAAACTAATGGCGAGGCAGAGCGGGCTCTGATGAGGCACGATGGTCTGGGGCCCCCGAGAGAGACTTGAATTGTACACATCACGGACATTGCTCAGTGAAGCGCCCACACATCCAGCACAAACAGACCCCTTGTGGAACATGAGATCGATTCATAAAAAGACATCCACCTAATGACGGCATCTGTGCTGCCCCCACCCATACTCCCCCGACAGTGATGAGTGGGCTTAAATCCGTCCATAAGTCCAGACTGCAATCAAAACAAAGGCTTGACACACAAAAAAAAACCGACAGCGAGAGAGAGTCTGGCTGTCACAACGGGAGCAGGCAGCATGTGATCCCCGGTCTGCTGGTTGGTTGGTTTTGAAGCAACAGGATTCGGTTGGGAGGCCTATTGTGAGTCCTGGCTAGGCGGCCAGCCGGTCAGACTGCGCGGACCAGACCGGGCTTCCTGGTCCTCGTCGCATGCAGGGGAGGAGGGAGGGGGGTTGGACAAATGCATGACTCTTAACAAATGTGGTCTGAATCTAAAGGCCTTCTGCAGATCGGCTTGTTTTTTTTCCTCCCCTCTGCTGTTCTCCAAATCAAGACCAGTCAGCAAATCGGTAGCAAAGCGCCGTGGGAACGGAGACAAAAAAGCAGGCGGTGGATGGGGGGGGCTGGTCCCAGGCAGCACTGTGGGAGAGGTGTAACAAGAAGTCTTGAAAGCAGCCGCTTGTTTTAGGGAACTTCCCAATTCTTAAGAAAGACCCCGACCAGTTCAGTGTTCATGGTAACGTCTTTGCAGGCGAGACCGGACGGAACGGATGTAACTCTAGAGGGGCGTCTCCAGGCACACGGGGGCCAGAAGACACCCTAACCCGCTCCGAGAGGACTGGAGATGGCCCGCAGGCGTGTCACAGGAAGCCGCCCCTCCGACGATCGTGACAGGCGCATTATTGTTTGGCTGAGTGCACATTGTGCTCAGAACTTTATTTTGGAAGACACATTTATCCGACTTGATTACCCTTTGTCTGGTTAGCCGTGCAGAAGACGCCGTTATAAATGGATGAGAACATGTTTCTTCTATCCGGGTCCCTTCTACAGGCGCCCTACTGATGGCAGGATGCAACAGATCTCAGAGCCGTCGAGGATTGCCACCATCATGTCTAATGTAACCTAAAAAACCTGTGGAAATTCCACAGAGAGGATCGCTCAAAATCAATATTGGGTGCAGCCGCGTAATGAGACGCGGCAGAATGGAGAAAACAACTACATAGATGTTTGGTGGACAGCGATGGGAAAAGTGTAGATTAATGGGGAGGATTTCTGCTTTGCCACACACACAAACACGAAAGCATTCACGCGTCACTACAGAATATGTTCCTCCCTCAAGGTAAGCCACACCTTTGACATTTCAAGTGTTATAAAAGAGGAAATATGTCACATGTATTACCAGGCAATGAACATACCACAGCCATCTTAAAGCACCCCTGTGCCGTCAGCACAGCCTCACGGAAAACTGATCTTCCCCTGAAATAAAAACCTGTGAAAAATAATGGCGTCTTATTGATTCCTAACGCGTCCCGGAGAGCAGTACTTTTTATGCTCAATCCGTTCAGACGGCAGCTGCGAAGCCAAGAAGTACAAAAAAAACACAGAGCACCGAGAACCAAACAATGGAAACGCACAGTTACACTCAGGAGCACGTCTTGTTGTGTCTGCAGCCAGCCAACAGCAACGAGGGACTATTTGTTTCCCTTTATTGGGATGTTGGTTATTGTGGAGGTTTAAACTTCCTGCAGGAAGACAGCGGAGGATATGCTGCTGGATAACAAACAACGTTTTCACTTGTTTACTCTCCCAGCGGAGTACACAGCAAATTGTACGTGGAAGAGGCCAGAGGAGCAGCCAGTAATGAAGCAAGAATGAACATGTAGTGAACGAGCAGGCTGCCAGATATTGTGGAAGGAGAATCAGCTGTTAATTGTTCTTTGTCTGTACAAACATACAGAGCTCCCGCAGCGGCAGCAAAAAGGGAAGATGCCCCAAATAGGAAATGCAATACAATAGTTGAGATCAGTGGGGGATTTTGAATTGACCAATGTTAGATAAATGGTTTATTTAAAAGAAAATCCATACTGGGCTTCCCACAACAATTTAAACAGCCCACAGAGGTGGGCCTCACCTTTGTGGTCTATAACCATTTGGACAATGATCCCTTTATCGCCCCCCACCGTTTTCAGGGAAGCACTCCGCTAATTAATTTAATAAAATATTTCTGGGCAAAGTCAGTCCAATTAACTCAAACCTCCACCACCAGCAGCATCTCCGAAATGACGACGACAACGTGTCAACATTTTATATTTAAAAAAAATTGAACATTTCTGGATGATGTGATAAAGCCCGACGTTAGGAACGTGAACGCCGAATTGAATGTTTTTCGCATGGAGTTTGGTCCGTACGCGCCGCCAACGCGCTCCTTTAAATAAACAAACAATGGCTCAGGTAGAAGTGAGTCAACGGCACCAACAACGACCAGACCCGCACACAAAACACCACGTCCTCCACTTGTTTGAGATGCGCAGCTCCCACTAAATGCCTCGGTGCGCGAACGCAACTTTATTGTTGGTGTATTCACCACCGAGGAGGCAACGCTGCTGCTCCGACCGCGTACCGCGCGCCTCACTTTTAGCCATAGTGCCACTTTTAAAAAAAAAAAAAATATATATATATAGTTTGTCGGCTCGTTTGGAGAGAAAAGCGTCACGTCTGCTCGTCTTACCTTCGTCGGCTCACGTCGTTCACCTCGCTAGTTATCCTTAATGGCTGGAAACCCCGGTCGAAGCTGCGCTCGGTCGCTCGTCCTCACCTCCTTCTCTCGGCGTCAGCCTCCAGACTGAGGCGGCTCAGACCGCGGCGATACCCAGCCGGCACCTACCTCCGTGGAGGAGCAGAGGCTCCGCCCACCCCACCGACGGCCGGGGAAGCTCAGCGCGGTGTGGGCATGTCGAGACACGGACCTGTCGCCATAGGTGTGATGGTCGATGTTTAAGGGACACTAATGGAATAATGTATTCGCTGCCGGGCTGAAGGCGATTAATGAGCCTGTTAGTGTAAACACGGTGTAACTCACAATTCGACTATTTTATTTCAGTCCCACGCAAAGCCCTACAGTGGCACCGTCTGGTGAAACGCAGAACAAACGCTCTCTCAAACTGTACGTGAAAACAAGTTTCATTTTAATAGTAATTTGACCTTTGCTGGTAATGACTCGCGTTTCCTCGATTTACCTGTACGATGATTATTACCCAGGTGTTATTTGCCTTTTTGTTTTGGAAAAATAATTTGTATAACCAGCAAAGCCCCCCTCCAATAACAAAACGATATACCTAAATATATGAGTAAATTGTAACGAAAAAAATATTTAATTATCAGGACTATACGCGGTGGATGTTTATAACTAAACCTAAACTACATTTCCCAGGTACCCCGTCCACTCTGTGACGCAAAATGCTCGCGACAGCTGTTTGTTTCCATGGAGCCCGGCAGAAGCTAAAAAGTCGGATTAGCTAGCAGACAGCTATTCAGTTAGCTCGTTGGTGTTTTTGTTTTGTTTGAGAATGTCAGGCCCAACTACCGAGTATCCAGAGACTTTGTTTTCATTTGAGTTTTTGGTGGAATATATCCGAGTCGACAAAGAAATCCAAATTTCCGACGAGCTTGCCCTTGGCTTACGACTCCTGGATTTTCCGACGCTGCTCATTTATCAGCCTCAGCGGATCGGTGGTGGCATTAAGGATCAGCAGGGAGAATGCGCCTTTAACAAAGGGAAATCGTGCTTCTTTAAAATGAACCTGGACTCACTGCATACCAATCTATCCGACATTCCTCTCTATGTTATGGTTTTGGATGTGAAAGAGGACGTCCCCAAACTAGTTGGTACCTCGCTCGTCTCGCTGGCCAAAGTGATGGAGCGAATAATTCGGGATGTGAACGAGCATGGCGTTTCAAGTCCCTCATCTCATGGGGAAAAGGGGGTTGTTGGTTTATGCAACCTTGCTGGGGAGAAAATTGGATCAATTTCCCTGAGTTTTAAACTGCTAAGTCTGGGAGCTAGTTTACTACCACACATCTCAAAAACAGGCCTTAAAAGCCCCCTTTTACATCCAGGCCTCATGGTGGAAAACATCCCAGAACCTCTGCCTCCTGCCTGTGGGAACATCTGCTCAGCCGCTCTCGACAAGTCTGACGTTAACATCAACATCCCAAATGAGGAACCGTTAGTAAATAAGGACAAATGGGACAGTGGTGAGCCTAGAAGGGAAGAGATGGAAAACAACTTCGATGCAGAATTAGCCATTTTCTGTCCGCCTCACCTCTTCTACAACAATTCTGCAGAGGTGCAAAAAACAAAGGAGGGAGGGGATTGCGAATTAGTGAATCTGCCCTCTGACCCTTTTGCATTTGAAGACACGTATTCAGAAGGAGAGTCTAGTGAAAATAAAATAGAAAGTACAAGATCTCCGGTGATGGACAGGAGAGTAAGACATAAAGAAACGAAGGAAAGGAACCCCGAAACGAGTGAGGTGTCTCTGGATGTCCTCGGAGAGGCCCTGCGACAGTTACCTCTCCTGAATGCTCTTGTTGCTGAGTTGTCACAGCTGAACGTCCAGAGAGCACATCAGTCCTCGTCCATTCATCCCAATGGCTCTTTGATTCACAGGCCTGCTTCCACAGAGCCTTCGGCCCGGTGTGGAAAGGAGCAGGACAAGTTGTTGCAGGGAAGTAGTACCCAATGTAAACATGTGCGTTCCCCCAGAGACCGCTGTGCACCAGTAGTTCGGTCTACTACGTCTGTAAAAGTCCAAAACAAACGAGAGGAGGCTTTGATCGAGAGCAGAAGCGCTCGTAAATCCACCGGGAGGAAGCTCATATGTGGCACGACTAAAACATTTAATCTGAGGCTGCAGCAAATCTCTCCTCTTAAAGTAAAACGTCGCGAATGCACAGACTTAGTGCGGAAGGAAACACAGTCACGTACGGCCAGAGGGAAGACCGAGTCAGGTCACGTGTTTGGGAAGTCCGGCAAAAGAAAATCCCAGAGCAGAGCTCTAAATCCGAGCTCCAGTCTAAATGAAAAAGTGGAGACGATGATGCAGAGCATCGCAGCGCACTCTGCCCTACACGGAACCGTCACACTTAAACCCGGAACCCTGCATGGGGAAGTTCATGTTAAACAAGACAGAGCCCTCCCCAAAATTTCACAAACACCTTCCCTTTCTGCAAGGCACTCGCGATGTATTCACATCCCCAGTGGGAATGATGACGATGTCGGCCAAGACAAAGACGAGAAGGAGCAGCGCAGTAAATCCAATCAAGTCGAGTCACAGACGGAAGCTGAGAGGCGCAGAGAGGAAATTGAGTCTCCAGGAAGCAGCACACGCAGCAGCCCCAAATCTTTATTTTCAGACTCCAGCTGGGAAGGAAACGAGGAGGCGGCCTATGCTGATGACTTCAACAGCCTGGGGCCCAGTGACGCGCAGTCCCCCGAGCCCACGAGCAGCCCGGATTCCTCTGGAGCCAGGACCCCCAGCCCGCCCATCACCCAGGGCCTCGGCAACTCCGACCGGGCCCGCTTCCAGAGGAGAGCGGCCCTCCCCGTGCCCATCAAAGCCCCGAGCTCTCCGCAGCGCTCCCTGAGGTGCACGCGCATCATCCGGGCTCGAACTCATGCCTCGGCGCTCAGCTTCTCCTCCGATGAAGGCGACAGAGACGGGTCGGCCTCCTCGCAGAGAGCGTGCTCCAGAAAAACCACCACGGCGGAGAGCGGCAGGGTGGACAGGAGTTCCGGCGCTGAGGTTTGCGTATCGTCAGCGGGTCAAGGGAGCCAGTCGACCAGGGACAGTGGGCCAGTTCGAGGATTTTCTGGAGAGTCGGTGTCCTCCTTCGACGCGCTGGAGGAAGATGAACTGGAGGACGGACTCGGATCTCTGGATTTGAGAAAGGGGTATCGGCATATATCTGAGCTAGTGGCCAATAAACTGCCTGGTTACACAATGTAAAGAAAATATGTAGAATTCTACTGTGATAACATCATGGTTACACTATGTCACCTAACTGAGTGAAAATTGTGAGTAGTATAAATGGTTTATAATCCAAGGAATGTGTATATGTGTAAGTTTCCCTTTCAACTTTTGAATAAAGAGTTTTTTGTGGAAATAATGTAAATTATTTTTACGCGACTCACTGCAAAGCATTTGACTAAATATTCTTAGAAAAGTTCTCACATACTGAACTTACTGTTCTCACATACTCCCAGCAAAGTAGTTGCTTTGAATACCACTTGCTACTTTGCATCCTTGGTATTATTTGTTCAGCAAAGACATTTGGCATGACACAGTTTTGCTGAGGATTTCTGTTATTGGGTTTCAATGGGACAACTGTACCTTAATTTGCACTGGGGCTAATTCATTATGAGTTCTAAGTATATTTACTGTAATTTAACACTTTACCAAGTCATTTACTTACGTAATTAAGCAGTTAATCTCAAAGATTTTTGTACTCTACACGAGATGGAACTTCTTTATATTTAAATGCGCTATTATTTTGCAAAATAGAACAGCCTATAATAAGCACTGAACAACAATGTCATGTAATATGTAGCAACACAAAGTATGTTTTATTATTAAAATTGGACATGTTCCTCCCTGACCGGCTATGCTTTTAATTTTTTTATTAATTTGCAATTTACAGTTCTAGTAGAGTAGCTATTTTTCCGGGATTTTCAAAGTCGACTCTTTCAGCGGACATATTTGAACTTTACGTCTTGTTTGTTAACTTGTGTGTAACTTTAAATGTTGAATTTGCTCGTTGAAAAAAAGCCCTGCGGAGTAGTCTCTTCTGCGCATGCGTCAACTCGATGTGTCCGGAAGCGCCGAGCCGCGTCACCTGAAATGTTCAAACACGTTTTTCTGACGGGACCTCCAGGTATCGCTTGATGAAATCTATTAAAGTTACAGTCGTTTTAAATACAGACCAGTTGGTCGTCTGCGTTAACTGTGATGAGTGTTACGATAGTAGTAAGTTGTTATGGTAACCGCTAACCAGGTAGTTATTCCTTTTAAGTAACGTCACTTCTTTTCATTTGAAGAGACGTGCATATAAACAATAACATTTCGACGCATTTGACAGGCATTTAGTCCGTATAGCTCCTACTTAAAGGTGTATTAGTGTAAAATGATGTAAAGTTAGTAGCCTGGATCAAACGTATTGTAACGTCTCCCAGTGGTCCCAGTTCCGCGTGCTGTGACGTCACGTGGTTTGGCTTACAGGCGTGGGTAAAACCACTCTGGTCCAGAAAGCCTGCGAGGCTTTGGTGTCATCGGGGACGGCAGTGGGAGGCTTTTACACCGAGGAGGTCAGGGACGGAGGCCGGAGAGTCGGCTTTGATGTCGTCACGGTGACGGGAGAGAGGGCCCAGCTGTCCAGAGTCAGGTACCAAGGGTCGCCAGCACTGTCAGAAGTGCCCGTTCTCGCTGTGCAGTCTTTTCCGAGCCGCGTTCCCCTTTTTTGTTTCTTGACTCCGCAGAGACCCGGCCGCTTCGCCTCGTGGCGGGCGGGAACACACCGTGGGGCAGTACGTGGTCGACTTGCCGTCGTTTGAAAACGTGGCGCTCCCCCTCTTCAGAAACGTAAGACGCACGGCCGTGCTTTTTAAAACTCGCCCTCATCAATAGATCACAGTGAGCTTAACACTCCCTCTCTAAACCCCCCCACACACTCACCAACTCCTCAAACCTTTGATTCCCCCAGAATTGATGGAATAATTGGAAGCTTGCAAACGCATAAATTCCAGAGTGACATTTTTAGTGTTGGTGGTGCCGTCTGGCTGTCACTGGCCGCGATTAATCCTGCATGTAAAGTGAGCCCCGAGTGACGCCTACACATGTGCTGTAAAGGAAGGTGTCTGCGCCTCGGCGGCACCTATTCCACTTTCATCCCACTTGAAGCGTCTCTGTAATCACTGCTGATCACCCGTTGCGTTCGACATCCAAACGCCGTCTCAGACTTCATAACGAAGATGTGCATTTTCCGACAATAGAACTGATCGGCACCATAACCGGCACCTCGCATCGGGCATTCGCTCACGCGCGGTCGTGCTTTGCGTTTGCAGGTAGGGTCGGCGGACGGAGGCGGTGGCGGCAAGGTGTTTGTCATTGACGAGATTGGCAAGATGGAGCTCTTCAGCCAGTCGTTTGTCGGGGCCGTGAGACGGACTTTGGACGGCTCCTCCTGGACCATCCTGGGCACCATCCCCGTCCCCAAGGGCAGACCGCTGGGTCTCGTGGAAGAGGTGCGGGGCAGGAGGGATGTCAAGGTCTTCACTGTGAGTACACACACACGCTCTCTGGGTGAGAGGAAACAAAAAAAAAGATATTTAGGTCAATTTGGAAGCTTCTGAGTTCAACAATAGCTACAGGACACAGTTTACACTGTATCCCCTTTGGACTTAGTCCGTCTGCCCGCTAAGGCAGCACAGGCAGCCCCTGTATTATCTCTCTCCTACAGGATTAACCCTAAATCGTGCGTGACTGATTCAACAACAAAGGGCGGTCTCGGATGTCACAATAATTCATCACGGAAGACTCGGTTATGGATATTGTCATGCAAAGTACTCGCTGCGCTCGAGGAGTTATTGTATAAATAAATAAAGGTTACGTGGCCGCGTAAACATTGTTTGACGTGTAATTTCACTTTTAAATCAGTAGGTTAGAGATTAATGGATCGTAACGTGTGGTTGATCATCTTAAAGTGGACACTGTGTCTGAGGACCAGGCATGTGTTGTTTATCTTTAGCATCTTTAGCATTTTTACCCACCTCTGATTCTTTTTTTCTTATTTCTGTTCCCGTCCAGGTGTCGAAGGAGAACAGAAATGACATTTTACGAGACATTCTCGCAACACTTCAAGACTGTCTAACACACAGCACCTAATAGTGAGATTCAGAGTGAAAGACGTTACCGCTCGTCCTCTTTTAAGCGCGTACGCGTTTCACACAGCAACCCTGCTGAGTGGATCCACACGGGGCTTTGACCCGACCTGAGGGGCGTGCAGAGATTAGCGTGTAACACGCGTGTGTTTGTGTACGCCGTTCGTTTTCTTTTCGTTCTCGTACAGCCTCAAAATGGATTGCATGCTGAATAATTGATTGTGAGATGGAACACCGTGGGGGAATTGTTCAGTTAGCGTGTAAATATCTCTCCGACTCAGAGCCGGCTAATAACGGCTGCGTTTCATTTTGTAACTCAGCTGTTGGTGTTCTAGAGAATCCGGCTCGTGTTGTCTCACATTTTTCTGTGTAATGTTCATTTGTGCAAATGGTGCTTTTCATTTTTTATTTAATTTTTTTGTAGATGGGCCAACAGGGCGGTGCACCTGTTTATTAATTTATTTCTTAGCTATGTGAGCCACCCCCACCCCCCCTTTGTGTATGTCTAGTTATCATTGAAAATCAATATTTAACGGTGCAACTATGTCCAATCCTTTCATGGTTTATTCATCCACTAACACAAAAAAAATAAATAAACACATGATTTCTTTCTCTGGTATGTATTTATTTTATAAGAATATGGAAACTGATCATTTGTTCAGCAGCTACAAAGGTTTTCATCTAAATAAAATCGTTTTAGTTTCTAGTTATGCTCCATCCTGGAAGTTAATGTAATTTCTGTCAATGTCCAGACGGATTACAGCAAGCGATAAATAGTATCAGTGAATACAGGATTTCTCAGATGTCAGAGTGCATTTATTGAGGATTTATTCGAGTGGTAAAGCTCAACAGAGGCCTTCTACTGGCTTTTTATAGAAGCAGACATGCAGCTCGCTGTGACTGCAGAGGTTATGTGGCACGTTCACATTTTGTTCCCAGAATGGTTGCTATTCTGTTAATAAATGTGGATTCGAGGTTTGTGTTTGTTCAGCCACAACGTCTGCCAGATGTATACCGGCTCTCCTTGCATGTTACATCGAGCTGTGCAAGAGAAGTCCGCTCTCTGACGCGACACAAGATATTTGTTTAGACGCTACTGCGTGCTCAGGTCATTTCAAAGTGAAAATACGTGGAAGGCTTCTAAATACTAAATACTGCCGGTGTAACTGATGTAACCTGTCAGCCGGGCTGAAGGGAGGACTGCCAGCTGGGATCTGCGTCAGACACGCCGCTGGGCCAGCATCTGTTCTGTGGTCACCGCTGACGTACATCTGGATACACTGGCAGCGGCAGAATTGCCTCTCAAAGTCGACATCGCAAGAGGTCGTCTTTTTTTTTTTTTTTCTTATCCTGGTGCCGGCGGGGGAAAGACGCCTCAGTCTTGTTGTTCCGCCGGGTCCCATCGGCACAGCGTGACAAACTCCAGACTGACTGATGTGATCAGCACCCGTGTTGGGGTAATATTGGCCTGTCGTGGGCAGCAGTGTTTCCCAGCCGAGGATATTTCTGCAGATGCCAGGTAAAAGGTTCAGGAGTAGCTCAATTTGACAAAACAAACGCATCCAGTTTTTTTAAATTAGAATTTTTATTTCTTTGAATAAATGTCTTCATCTCGAGTCAACAGTTGAAATAACTAAAAGTGATTTCAAATAGTCGATGAATCTGACACAGCTGACAGGTTGATGTCGAGAACCATTATTTCTACAGTGTTTTAATGTGAATCAAGTGTTATCGATATTATCACAACACTACTATTTAAAACCGTAGCAAACAGTTCAACCCTATCAAGGCGATAAGTTCAAAAATAAATAAATATAAAGATTTTCTGTTAAGCCCCTCTATAGGTTTGTTCACACATGGCTATTGTGCAACGATCAGTTGCTCTGTCAGGGGACTTGAATGTAATAATGCCGCCTGAGCCATATGGAATAGCTTGAATGAATAAGAAGTGAATTAATATCCGTATTGCAGAGATCCATTTGCACCACATCTTAGCGACAGATGAAACCCTTTATCCCTCAACACATGGAGGACACAGAAACGCAAGGAGCTTACCAACAAACCAGGACAAAAGGGAGCTTGCTGGTGGGAGGGAGGGAGGGGTGGCTGGTTTTGCACTTAGAGGTAGCGGCCCAGGAGGCAGCCGAGCACATTGTGATGTATTGTCCGAGGAGCCGTCGGCCAAAATGCCAAACACATCTGATGAAAATCTGACATATTGTTCAAACATCGTGTGGGAGCTGCACAAAAACCTGCCCCGGCTTTCCCAAAGCAGGACTTTCCCGATTATTTCCCAAGACGATTGTGTGATTTATCGGAAGATATGTGGAGCGAAAGCTTCTTAGCGTCGATGACGTCTGATTTCTCAGCGCAAAGCTTGCGCATTAGCGACGCTCCCTTGAATCCAGGTAACGTCTCAGCATGTGCGAGTGTGCGAAGTGCACAGGATTTTTATGTGTATTCCCAGAAGGCTTTAATCGAGCTTTGATTCACCTCATCGTGCTAATGTGCATAACTAAGGTCCACTGGTCGTGCCAGAGAGGTCGTTAATGTCAAATGGGATCCCAAGGCTGTAAAAAATGAAGCAATTTGATCTGACTTCCTAACCGCCGCACCGTACTGCCTCGGCTCCTAAACCACTCTTCCCATTACATCACTTTCATGTGCTCACTGGGGCTGCTGGAGGCAGACGGGGTCCAGTTTCAAGCACACCCCTCCTGAAATCAGAGATCGAAGAATGAAAATCAAAGAGGTCTTTTCGGAGGGGGGGGGGGGTTTCTTTCTTTGCCTTCGATTTTTGAATTTGATTTTTCAAAACCACTGACAGCAAGGGAACATACTCCCTGTAGAAATCTGTCACGTGTAGAGAGTCGTGCATCCTTCCACAGAAACTTTTTCCATCAACCCCGAGGGGAGGGGTTGAGGCCTGGAGACCCCCCCCCCCACCCACCCCTTTCACCCGTTACACTGCCTTGATGGTTTCTTGTGATCTTCAGATCTGTTTGAATGACCCCTGTGAGTAACACCTCACTAAGCCTCACAACACAACATGCACTTTAGCCCAGCTGTGGGAGGACACATCACACACACACACACACACACACACACACACACACATATATATATATATATATATATATATGTATGTTATTAGTGGTCGGGCAGGGGAGACGCAACAAGCCGAGGGTGGAGTGCGTGGGTGTAGTATTTAGTGGCGGTCGCATTCCACAGCCCTGCCGCGTTATCCCACACTCAGGGAAGGTGGGGGGGCACCGTAGCATGGTGACACACAAAGAAAGTGAGTGCATCGCTATCCTTCTGCATGGGAAGGGGAGGACCCCCTCCCCACTCCCGCGGCTGTGAGGCAGGCCGGTCAGGAGCTGTCAGCGGTTGTATGTGGAGGTCAGAGGTCACGGAGCGGACACCATGAAAGGGCTAGGGGGCATAGCGATCAATCGACCGGCCTGCGCTGCGTGCCCCCCCCCCCCCGGGGGTGCAGAGGATGTGGCTGTCGTTCTAAACTCGACGGAGAGGAAAAAACACACACACAACACCGTCTTTTTGTGGCGGTAGGAAAATAGGTGCCACATGTGCATGCGGCAACTGTGTGAATATGACAATATCCTCCTGAACGTCTGAGCGGATTATTTACGCACACACTAATAAGATGCAGATCAATGGAGGTGACTGTAAGTGAAGTGAACAAACCTGGGCTACATCTCTTGTTGTGGGAGAATCCTGCAGCACTCAGCACCATGGAGCCGTGATAATGGTTCACAGATTGCTGACCTGCCATGACGAATGCCTCTGCAGGATGCTCTCGACAAATTTGCACCACAAACGCAGAGGTCTTCGAGCCGTTTCCATTCCATACGCTATAGTAGCCGCTGCATGCGTGTGCGCGCGGGCCAGGACTCTTGGCAGTGATCTCAGAGCCGAGACACGGAGCCAAAAAACTTCGCTCTTCTTCCATTCGTTGTGATTTCTTATTAGAATATTTGGGAACGTGCTGCTTTGTGTTAAGAAGTTGGCTGCTTGTTACTGGAGGAAAGGTGCACTTTCTTTACAATGGCTTGCAGCAGATGATGCATGCCGTTGTAAAGATGGTACATGTCATTGTTTATTGGCTGTCCAACATTACGCCCACGGAAATGGAATCTTGACATTCAAATTTCAAGTACTTTCAAGTGATTTTGACTGCTCCCAGACAGCATCACGCATCAAAAACATTTCAGCTCATTTAGTGTTTGCACCTTAAATTGTATTTCTTCAGAGCCTTTTTTAGTCCTTCATTTATTCAAATTTTCCAAATGTCTTTTTTTTAAATTCGTACCTCGTGATCCTTTCCTTTGTGCTGTAACTAATCCGTCCCTGGAAATCGCTGAATATTTTTCAATGCTGAACAGTCCTATTTTGCACTCTCCATGCACATGACTCATTATGCCGCCGTAATGTCCGCAGAGGTTGTTTGGTTCATCAGCATAAATGCTGTTGATTATGGATTTGTTTGAATTGTGCCTTTTTAATATGCAAAAAGGAGGCTAATGATGTGAAGATGTTCTTAGCCTGGCCTGGCCTTTAATCTCTCTCTTCATCTAATCTCCTTTCGTCAAAGCCTCCGGAGACGAGAACTGAGCATGAATAACAGCCATTTCCAACTCGTCGTAATAATTCATATCTTCATTGAATAATCACAGCCAAAGAAAAGCATTGGTTTTTGATGTTTTATTATGAATAGTCTTTAATACATTTTGTATTTTGAAAAAAAGTGTTAATATCAAACAAGCTCAAGCAGTATCAAACCGCTGATTTCATTATTAGGACGAAAATGTTTTGGTGCACCACACGGCGTACATGTGAAGTTGAGGGTATTGAACGCTTGACCATAACTGAGTTCTAAACGGATTCTCTCTCCTGAGCAGCTCCGTTTCTTCATAGAGAGACCGTATACTCAATAACTCAACCATCCAAAAACTATCAAAGCAAATATAGGAAAATGTTCACATCTACGATGACAAGGTGCAGACACACACACACACACACACACACACACACACAATATTGTTCCTTTCACGAGAACACTCAGAAGGCCTGGAAGTGATCTATATAAAACACATCAAAAATCAAACTGCGGCAGCTCTTCAGATCATAAATACAGTCAGTAGTAGCGTTTTCTTTATATTTTTAACAAACACGTGCACTGCACACTATTTGTAAAAAAACAACAACACACCTTTGTTAGTAAAAACTCAGGTGTCCCTTTTCCCAAAGAACTTTTTGAAGACGGACTTGGTGCGCGGCCTCGGCAGGCTGGTGTAGCTCCTCAGAGCGGAATCCTCACAGGCATCCTGCCGCCATCCGGCGGCGGCCAGCAGCGGCGGCCCGGGGCTCTCGCTCACGGGCGCTCCGCCTGACGACTTGTCCCCGACCACAAGAGTCACGCAGTAGTTGGAGCCTCTTTCCGGGCCTCCGCCTCCCACAGTGTGCAACGTGGGTTTGATCCTCTGAAACGTCGCTGAGAAACAGAAGACGGGGCGACAGAACATCTGTTCACGGTTTCCCTCGGACGCGCCTCATTCGTTTTAACCACCGCAAACTTACCCGAGGTGAAGGAGTGGGAGCGCCGCTTGTTGCTGAGCCGGTCCTCGCTGCTGGAGACAGGGGGGGAGGAGGAGGAGGAGGTGGCGTCACTGGATGCTCCAGACGGCCTGTGAGTCACCGTCAAACTGTCTTCATCATCATCATCTAGCGAGAGGCGAGAGATTATCAAAAGCAGGCGTTAAGAGCAGCAGAAGAGCAACAGATGTGAGCTCCTGTGATACTCCAGTTGTTTAATTCAATACAATAGCTCCCTCTAGTGGAACACAGCCAGTCCCCATTTTCTCGCATGATGGGAGGACGTGTGATGGACGTCTGAAACACTACATGGCTAAATTACACCCGGAACACATTTCTCAACGGTTAACTGCCGATTAAAAGAGCACTAAAATCATAAAAACCCTCTCGCATCAATAGCTGCCGTGCCAGGGCGCGTCCCTCTGACCACCAGCGGCTCGTCGCAGGCCTTTCGGCAGCAAACAATGGAGGGCGGGGCCTGTCATGCCGAGTGTGAATGTGGAGCAGATGCAGCACAGCGGACGGCCTTACCGCGGCGGCCTGCAGCCGAGGACGAGACGGTCGACCGCTCGTCCACACTCCTCAAACGAGCCTGTGGCATGTGACTGAACTCCCTGGTGAGGACAAGCGTCTCCTTGGCGTGGGGGGTGCCGCCCGGCGGCTCGCGCCTGGGGAACGTGCAGGTGACGTCGCGGCGGCAGGAGCATTGGCATTTGGTGCCGTGACAGGTGGAGCAAAGGGAGGGCTTGCTGGGATGGGGGAGAGGGGGGAGTTTTAATAACATTAAATATTGAAAGCACCAAATCTGGAGTAAGCGTTGTGCCTTACGTGGAAACAGGGAGGTCCTGATCAGCGGGGACGCTCGAACACGGAGTCTCGATCAGACCTTTCAAGAACCAAATAAAGACAAATGATTCGCAACATTTCGACGCCAGTTCAGGCGTAGCAATCAATAGCCTCCAAATAACAACGCTCACCCGTGCTTGCTTGTATCTTCATCATCCATTTCTTCAGCATAAAGCGGGAGGAAGCGTTGAGCAGATACTCAGACCCGTCCCGGAGCCTGGGGGGGGGGGGGAATGGAAAAAAAAAATGTTACATCCTCGGTCGGACACGCCATCTGCACAGCATCGTCATTATCATTAGTGGCCATTAGAGTCTCACCGGAGTCGGAAGCAGTTGGGCTTTTTGGTGTACTCCGGGGCGGGTGAACACTCGGCTCCCGCGAGGTTCAGCGGCAGGCCGCATGCGGAACTCTGCGGCGTAACACGGATTCATCACTGCTGACTTCATGCTATCCCAATTATTCATCATCTCGCTTCTCTGGGGCTCTTATTGTCGTGTTTTTTTTTTTTTTCTGCTTACCCTGAGAATTTCCTTTCTGTCCTGGTAGAAGCACAGGGTGTGTCTGTATAGGACGGCATGGTAGGAGTTCCAGCCCCTCGAGGCAGCCTGTGAAAATAAGATAAGAGTGTGTGCTGCTTACTGCGGGCTTTACGTTCGCTGACCGCGCCGGCTTACTCAGACAGTCTTACTTTCTTTCCCCCCAGCTGCAGCTTTTGCTTCCTCTCCAGAGTGGCCTCCATAGACTGCGGCTCGGGCTTCCCACTCTGAGAGGTAAAGTGAACACTGATGTCAAGACAAAAAACACAAGCAACTCCACTCTGTGGTTCCTCATAAGAGCTAAATCTCAGAAAAGGCGTAGGAGCTTGTCTCGTTGCACTGGCTCTTACCAGGTTGATAGGACGCCCTCTTGTGGCCAGAGAGCCTTCCTGCTTCTCCATGTCATCCAGGCTCTGCGAGGCTTTTCTTTGGCCACACACGCCATCCAAACTCATATGAACTGAGAGGAGACTCATCGATTGTTCCTGTTCGGAAAGAGGAGATGAGATAGCAGGTTCTCATGCAGGCCGTCCACATCAACAGCAGAACCGGGTAAAATGCTACGGCTCATCTACAGTATCGGGGCAATGTGTTACTATGTAGACCCAGTTTATATTCTAGAACTGATTTAATAATATTACAAGTGTTGTTACACAGAACAACGCAGTCAACACCTTTATTGTAGTGGTCGCTGTGAGCAAACAACATTTGGATCCTCATGGCTTTAAACCAAGATTTTAATTTTTCACATTTCTGTAAATCCGAGTCTCTAAGGTTTTAACGTCACAGTATCTCAAACGCTGACCGTACCTTCAAAGAACCTGCATGCTCCTCCACCTCCTCCCCCACCGTTGCCTCCTCCTCTTCCTCCTCTCTGTATTGATAGATATATCTCGGATTGTCCCCCACATCTGGCAGCTTCACCGGATCCGATGCCGTCTCGTTCACAGAGACGGCGTTCTTGCCTGCGGGTTCCGTGTTCGGAAAGGCTGCCCAGGACCTCCTGTCCCCTGTGGCCAGTGGAGGGAGGCGACCTTTGGGCCTCTGCTCCTTGTCGTAACCCAGCAAGCTCTGAAGTTTGAATTCTGCCACCGGGAGGTTGGGTGCTGAGGCTGTGACCAGGTTCCTGTAGCGCTCAGCCGGGGTCTCGGGTGAAGCTGAGCGGGAGACGGGCTCCCCGGACTGGTCTGAGGGTCCGTGGTTGGGCTGGTACATGATGTCCGAGCAGACGCTGCGCCTGGAGTTGGTGGTCCGGTTCCAGATGTCCTCCAGCTCTTCCTCCTCCTCCTCAAACTGCTGCCGGTCGAGGCGGACGGGCTCCGCTTCCGGCTCCGCCGGCGGAGCCGCGGCCGTCGGGAGGGGGTCCTCTCTCGCTGCGGCGCAGTCCAGACCTGCCACCTGGAAGGACATGAGCCTCCCCACCACGCCCTTGGGCTGCGGCTTATCCGCACACGGCGCCTCGTTGCAGAGCTTGATGCTGCTGGAGGTGGAGATCCCGGAATCCACGGAGTCCTGGCGAACGCTCACCGTGGACTTCAGACTCACGACCATGTGAGAAGCCTGGCTCAGACCCTGAGGTCTGGGGCTCTGAGGGCCGGGGCTCTGAGGTCTGGGGCTCTGAGGTCCGGGGCTCTGAGGGCCGGGGCTCTGAGGGCCGGGGCTCTGAGGCCCGGGGCTCTCGTCGCGCACAATCCGGGGCCTTGGATGTTTGTGGTACGGGTGTCCGTTTAGGTCGCGGATGAGCGTGTGGACACTTGGGCACACGTGTGACTGTGCGGCTGTATTCCCGGCATGGTTCACGTAAATGGGGCAATGGGAATGCTGGCTGTTGGCATCTCTCTCGGCCGTGCTGGTTCTGACCCCGGACGCCGTTTTGTCCGGCGCCTGTTCCGCGCACCTGCGAGGGCCGGACTGGGTTTTAGAAAGGCCGTTGCGCGGCACCCTGTGATCCTCGACGCCCTCCGAGGAGCCCGGAGGTTGTGTTCGGGGAATCTTTTCCACGTCGGGCGGATCTTTCACTGCGGCGGGAAAACTGAGCTCCGCCGAGCCGCGTGCAGGAGTGGGCCGACTCTGTTTGAAGGAGCTCAGGGCCGTGTGTCTCTGGGAGTGGGGGTCCGGATCAGTGCCTGCTCCTATTTTGCACTCCGGTGGGGCGATGGTAATGATGTCCTGAATGCTGGGGATGAGCGTCATGTCCTTGGGCAGGTCGATGCTCAGCACGGAGCCCAGAGAGAGGACCCTGCAGTGGCTCCTCGCGTGAGTTGTGGTCGTCCCCTCGGAGACGGCATACGGAATGATGCTGTATTCTCCGGCGCATTCGGTGTCGATGTCCGTCAGCAGGGGGTTCTTCATGTAGGCCAGAGCCTCGACCGCTTCCCCACTCTCCTGGGAACTCTTCTTCCTTCTGGCCTCCTTCAGCGGCCACGTGCGCGTGTCGTACGTGATCGCCTCGCAGTCGTAACGCGGCCTCCCCCCCGGACGCTCCTCCACCCCCATGATTTTCTGAATGGTGTGCCTGCGCGCGTCTCTCTTCCTCTTCCTCTTCTTGCCCATTCTCTTGAGGCTGCTGAAGAGGGAGCTGCCGCCGCTCCCCGCCGGGTGGCGGAAGGTCACGTTGGCCAACTGAAGCGGCGAGGGCGGCGGCGAGGAGGAGGCCGCGGAGAAAGCTGGGGAGGCCGAGGCTGCAGAGCGGCTCTTTTGGCGGGGAAAGGTGATACTCTCGTACACGGGGACCGCAGCCAGGCTGCTATCCTTGACATGCAGGTAGGTACTTACCTGGAAGAAAGAAAAGGATGTTAGCGGGGGGGCCTCTGGCGTGGCGGCGAACCGTTGAGGCTGCGCCGCAAATAGTTAACCGCAAGTTTTACGTGTTACAGACGAACGAGAGACAAAACATCAGCTTGCTTGCTTCCACGTCGCACACATCCAAGAAGATGACGGATGCAGGAAATATGCAAACCTCACACAGTATATATACATATTTATATATATATATAAATGGTTAAAAAAAATGACATGAAAATGAGATGAAAGGACAAAATAACACAGAAATGATCGCACGCTTGCAGGACTTAATTAAAGTCACATGTAGCTGAACATGCCGTCATATGCAGCTGTAATGGCTTGACCTTTCAACTCTGTGACTAATCTCTTGTTTCTGCAGAAGGCCCAGACTATAAATCATAGTGTGCAGTCTGGGGGCCTTTCTTGAGAAGTTCAGCACCAGTTCTCAGTAGGAAGAGTGAGCCTGTGTCGGCGTCCGGGACTCAATCGGGCCCGAGTCCAAGCTGGAGAACAACTTCCATAGGAAGTGAAAATGAGGTCACTTATTTTACACAACTGTGGCACAGCGGCGGAAAGCCAGACAAGACCAGGTTTGTGTCAAGCTCGCGGAGGAATAACAGAATGAGAAGAAAGGAGCTTCTGTCAACATTCACAGCGGGGAGGAGACTGGGTCGGTTCTCTCGTACTCATCGGCCTCATTCCATATCTGCCATCGCCGCCCTGCAGCTATAGAGCCCGGCCCGTTGAACGAGTTCCCAAGAGAAGTTCTGATGACGGAGCAAGGTTTTGATTCATTGTCTGATATTCAGTAACTATTTATCCGAGTTCACACCAGACAAGCTGACCGGGCCGAATGGCTGCTGACAGATGAGGTGGAGCCACATTCACAATCTCAAAGACGCAGATTCGTTAACGGCGCCTCGGGCGTACTCAGATAAGTCCTTGTTCGTAGCGCTGGAATGTATGACTCCTTTGAATGCAGTTTCTGACATCACTTTTTGGGCGCGCATAAGACTAAGTACCGGGTAGACATTACTTATATACTGTATATAGTATAGTAGGTTTGGACTCATTTTCTCATTCAATTCAATGAGTGTGTCCGAGCTTTTGACTGGTGCTGTATTCTAAAAACAGTTCATTGGAGTTCACATAATAGTACTACTGCACCTGTGTCACTACGTCTGTATTTCCTCAAATGAATTGTAAAATCCCCTTTCAAATCCCATTCGAATGTGCTTCATTAAAAATAGATTTCTTTTTGGTTTGGGATTTGCATTTACGACTGCAGTTAAGTAGGAAATCATGACTTTTGACATTACATTTTCCAGCCGCAGTGACCCTCAGAGGTGATAGCACTTTGGCACAAGTGAATCTGAGGACTGACTGTAGCTTGTAACAAGGGTTAGTAAAGCATGCTGCCCCCCCCGCCCTCGCCCCCAAAAACACAACTACACACAGCATGCGGTCCCCGGCACACTTTGAGACGCAGCATGCAGCGCCGATTCACACCACGCTGTTTACCTCGTTTGCACTCTGCCGATAAATCGTTCTCTTTCTCTTTAAACTACCGAAAGTATTTTCCAAAAGCCCCTGGCAGCGCCTCCAAAAGCTTTTACAGGCAGAGGATTGAGGCACAGTGGGCTGAGGGAGAAAAGGAGGGGAAAAGCAACACGTGAAGGCCAGAGGAGAGGCAGAGAGGCAGGCGGGGAGATCCCATGCAGTGGCCTTACAGAGAACAGGTGTGCGTGTGCGTTGGCACCTGGAAAACTAACAGAATCCCCTTCAGGTACCGACAGTGGTGCTTGGTGACTTTCAGTGTGAAGCGACGGGTGCGTTTCTCACCCTGTGGACGCCCTGAGGCTCGGGATCCTCCTCCGTTACTTCGTCCGTCATAGCACGCGGGGGGTCAAGCGCCTGAGCCTGGCTGTCCGCCTGTCCCCCGAAACTCAGGATGAGGTTCACCGTGCCCCCTAAAGCGGGGCTGCTCGGCTCTTTGAGGACCACGATGGCGGATTTGGGAGACTTTGAGGAGGGGGTGTGGGCGTCCTGCTGGCCGATACCGCTCATAACCTCGTACCCGTCGTCTAACGGCTTCTCCTCGGGCTGCTCGGCCCGTCTGGACGCTAGCGACGAGGGTTGGCCGTCTGCTGCTGCCTTTAAGGCGTCGTAATTGGCCACGACGAAGCGGGACGGAAGGGGCTGGTGGGCTTCCAGCTCAGGAGATAAAGTCTGTGTAGGAAGCAATGGAAAGTTGACCTGTTGTTACTGAGTTGTCGTTGTTTTATGTGCCTTCAGCACTGTTTCAGGCTATAAAATAAGTTTTATAATGAGTTGTGCAAAAAGGCCTCTGCTTTTTCTTTACCTCTGCCAGTGGAGTCCACGCTGTGGCTTCGGAATAAATGTTATCTTGTGGAGGCTCCTGTTGGCTCTTCTTGTGAAGCCACTGTTGTTTCTGGGCCCTCCAGTGCACTGAGATCCACCCGAGCATACTCCTCAGCTCCTCCATGCGCTCCCTCACCTGCAACACATTACTCGGGGTTAGTGAAAACATCGACCAACAATATATGGAAGGATCGCAGTGAGTCATAAGTCACGCTCACCATCTGTGTGAGGTGGTGTTCTTTGTCTAACAGATGCCGCCCCGCGTCCGCCAGCTCATCGAACTCCTCAAACTTTTGCTCAATCTGCGTGTCCAGCTCGGCAGCGAGAGGCCTCTGGCCCTCCCTCCCGAGATGCAAGGCGGTGTCGGAGAATATGCTCGACCTGGTGTCTTCCGTCCACGAGCTGTTGAGAGGAGAGGGTTGGGGTTGGGGGGGAGGGGGTAGGGTGGAGGAGACAAGGAACAGGGCTGTCAAAAAACAAAGCAAAAGGGATGAGAAGGTCCAGACTCTCCCTGATAAAACAGACATTCATCGCCTTGTCACACTCGGCCCAGGAAACGAGCGCTGACCTCCTCCGCACGTCTTAGATGATACATTTCACCAGGGACCTTCTCTCGACAACGAGAACATCCTGTTCGTCCCATTGAGTTAGTTATTGTAATGGAAAGAGGATTGCGAAAAGAATGTCTGGCGGTAGAGGAGGGGGGGGGGTCAAGTCCCCGCGGCCTGCTTACATCATGGCGAGGTAGCTCCTGAAGAAGTCCTGGAGCTGCATGAACTCTCGCAGACGGGACCTGTTCTCCGTCGCACTCTTGCCCAGCTCTGTCCAGCCCCCCAGCATAGCCTGGATCTTTGGCCCGAGCGTGTGCACTCTCTCTGGGCACAGTTGCTCCAAGCGGGACGTCTGGTTCTCCATCTCCTGAACCTCCTCCCGGATGACTTCATAGTCAATCTGTGGAGAATCACGACGAAGATCTATCATCTCCCATCATTCTCTGTATCAGACAAACAGCCTGTACCAATTGTATATCAGAACGACTATGACCTCAGCCCCCGCATTATGCATATCATTCGGCTTCAGACCCATGTGGGCTGCATGTGGGCCGCCACGCTGCAGCAAGCCAGCAATCTCGACCACTTTTCCCCCTCTCGGCAAGGCGGTAATTAATAGCGCCGAGGGTTCTCTGGGAGTAATGCTTCATAACGCTTCTCACCTACAGCAGGGCTCCAGAACACTGAGTTGTGGATGCTTGTGTGCTGACGGCACAGTTATTTCAGTTTGGGGGGGATTAGGTCATCTCTGCTCTTCAGCGGCATCGAGTCCAGACAGCTGTGTGTGTGTGTGATAAAAATAACACTTTCCCCAAAACGGACTCACGCACTTTACAAACTTCGCATCTCCGACCCTGTGACCCCCGGACGCAGAGAACACACTCCATAACCTGTTTGAATACGCTCCGTGTGTGTGTGTGATTGCACAGTGATAAACAAAGCACAAACCAGGTTGGGCTGGCTTTTTTTTCTTCTTTTCTTTTTATTCTTGAATGTGAGAAAATCTGGCACAACAGGAAACAGACGGTGGAACAATGTTTTAAAAGGCGAGAGAGGGGGCTTCCCCTTTTTTCATTGCACCAAGCAAAAGGCCAATAATTACAACGGACGGATCGGAGGACTCAAATCATATCGGCGCCAGTGATTCATTTGGGATGTTTACACCATCCTCCTCTCACCTCCAGGTGGTCCTGCTTCTCCTGCAGAGCCTCGAGGCCGCAGCGGTCGGGCTCACACTGGACGGCCAATTCCGTCTCCTTCTCCAGGATGTCCAGGCCAAGCTCCTTGCTGCGGCAAAGGCACTCCTCCACGTGCACCGCCAGGCTGGCGCGCTGGCGAGGCGCAAATCATTAAATCTTATTCTTATTCTTTGTTTTCCAACAAGAGTCACGTTCCAAATGGTGCTGTGTGTGTGTGTTATTTTGACAATTATAGAATGAATGATAATAAATTGCTCATGTGAGTGGTAGTTGTTCTTATTAAAATAGGAGAACAAACGGAGAAATGTTTGTGACAGAAGTGGAGGGACTTTCGGCACCATCTAAGATTATGATGAGTAAATAAAACAGCAAAGGACGTAGAACTAGAGTTCTCTGTAGTTTAACCTACTCATACCTTGCTCAACAGCTCCTGGACGGCCTGGTCGTGGCTCTGCGATCGGCCTCTTTCCCTTACAGTGTCGTTCAGCATCTCTACAGCCTCTCGTAGTTCCTCCACAGGGTCCCCCATGCTTTCTATCAGGGGCTCCCCACCACTACTGCTGCAGAGTCCCAGCGAGGACGGAGCTGAGGAAATCTCACTGTGAAGAGGCTGTTAGTTAAAGAACAAGGGAGAGAGAGAGAGAGAGAGAGAGAGAGAGAGAGAGAGAGAGAGAGAGAGAGAGAGAGAGAGAGAGAGAGAGAGAGAGAGAGAGAGAGAGAGAGAGAGAGAGCGTTCAGTCGGGTCCAATATCGCTGAAAAAGATCTGTAGCATTTCCTCACATGTGGTATCCAGCCACACACGGAGTTTGTGTTGGTGTGATATTCGTCACTCCTACCACAAAACAAGAGGGCTGACATGATGGAATATTTAGAATGGAGGATTGTTTATACAATTATTTTGAGTCACAAATAAAACTCCATTCAGCGTGACTGTATTGGGGCTGAATTTATAATGTATAAATACATTTAGTGGAATTTCCACTCTCGGTGCCTCACCTGGCCCAGACTGTACCGCCTGCCGGTGAGGTCCTGGCTCTCCTCCAGCTCCACGCGCTCCAGGAACTCTGTAAGCATTCGTGTGTCCTGCAGCTCAGAGTTCTGCTGGGTCAGCGCACTTTGGACCCGATGGTACCTAGGAGACACACACAGACCCACGTGCACACGCCATCAGGGCTGTTCTAATGACCAGCCACACCTCAGCTTCCTTCCGCGGAACCGCATTACAGAGGCTGCGAGCAGCACAAAGGGTTGTTTATTTAATCATATCTCAAGTGTCACATCAACAGTTCCTGTACTTCAGGGCATGAAGGTACCCGTCCGTGCACAGTTTATGTTTGAGATGTTAAAAGGAGCAATTTCAAAGGGTATTTTTTCCAGGATAAATGAGCCTTCAGTTTCCGCGTCTGTAGTGTTAAATAATGACATCATTCCAAGTGTCTCACAGCTGCTTAGTGGGAGGCTCCACCTGCATCAGTGGTTCCCCGGCCTCCAGCAGTGTCCATCCCTTCCTCCCTCCAACACCACCCACCCTGGAAACACTTAACCTGGGACCCTTTCCTTTTCTTTATTTTCCTTGGTCAGCTTGGTGCTCTTTACAGAGTCTGAACTTGTGTTTATGAACCTCGGTAGGTAGGTCTAGTGAACCAGCCAGACATCACGGGCTTTTACTGAGCATCCATGGCGACCATCTGTCTCCCAAGGGGCCGGCATGGAACGGGCGACACTGACAGGCTGTGGGTGAAGTGCATGTCAGGACTGTCGTAGACCTCACTGAGTGCTGCACAACTCACAAATGACCCCAGCCGTGCAATGAATGAGCACATGGAGAGAATTTCATTCTTGCCAACTTAGACCAGACAAGGCAGCATAGACGTTGTGTGATATATATTTATACTTTTTTTTAGGTGGTTTATGGTTGTTTATCTTAAACTAAGAACTGGGGATTTTATGAATAAACTCTTCCATGGTGGATTGCAGACATGGCAAGCCCGAACCTGCTGGAAACACTGACTAAATCCCCCTTTTATTTCCTTACCACGGTGTCGAGCGAAACCACCAGAGTGTGATTGTTCGGATCTATAACATGAGTCCTCCTTGATGACAGACACCGGGGAGCTACCCATGACCTCTCCCACTCTCCTCCTTTGACAAACTCACTTTCTTTCCAACTCCTCCACGCGCGCTGGCAGGCCTCGTGTGTGCGGGTGACTGTGGGTTTGGAGACGCTCCACCTCCTGCCTCAGGGTGCTGAGCTCCGGGCGGCGGGCCGCCACCTCCTTCTCCAGCAGACAGCTCTCCCTCTCGGCCATGCTCATCGTCTCAGGGTCCCCGGCGAGAGCCGATTCCTTCATGGAAAGCTCCACGGACTCCAGCCAGGCCTCCAGACTGCCCAGGGCCTGGAGCACTTTCACAACCTGCACAGTACATAAGCAGCCCGGCTGATGAGGAAGAAGTATTCCTGGAGTCATTTCCAAGTGGTTTTGGGTTTTGGTACACGGCCAAAACCAACAGAGGTGATGTACTGTGCAAAGAAAAACAATACTAGCTTTTCCTAATGGAAGTAGACCATGCTCTGAACTACATCTTTTGTAATAAAACACTCACCCTTCCCCAATAAGTCATCAATCTGGGAGAGATTTGCAGCCTCTTTCCATCCCATAATTGAATTATATGGCAGTGCGATTTATATCCCTTGGATTACCAGTCATAAATTCGGGGGAAAATACCTTGCAGACTTCCAATTAAGCCCAAAACGTTTCTACTAACGATTGTATGTGAACAGCCCAGGCTCACGGGCAGCAGAGAGCTTCTCCGGAGGGACGAACTCATCCAGAATCATCTCTCATAAGCATAAATTTCCCCTTAAACTTAAACCTAGAAGTGTGCTGCAGAGGAAGGCCTGTTGAGCGATATTTTATGAACCATACCCTAAAACCCAGCTCCTCTGAGGCCTGCAGAAACGCCGCGTTCCTCCGGTGTCTCCTCCGCAGCTCCTCCCACAGGACTTCCAGCTGGCCGAGGAACTCCTGTATCTTGGCGCTGCCTGCGTGCTGAGCGCGGACCAGCCCGTGGCCCTCCTGAGGATGGAGCGTTAAGACTGATGAGAGCATGTGATGATTAAGGACTGGGATTCAAGGTTTGCGAAATATCAACCTAAACCGAAGCTCAGGGCGAAATGTCAGCTCGTTATTCCATTAATACACAAACCAGGCCTGTCGAGGTGCCCAGTTGGCAAAATGTGGGGAATATTTTCATTGAAGGCATCGATCCAAGGCTTATGTTCTAAGACAAACTGTGAGTATGACAGTGTGCCTTGGCTTACCCGTTTGACCACCTCGATTCTGGCCCCATTGGTGAGAATTTCTTGCTCCAGAGCGTGTTGACACTTCCTGGCCGCCTCCAGCCCCTCGAAGCTGGCTATTGAACACACTTGTGTTGCCATGGACACGTTGTCTTTCAGCCAGGACAATGTCTGAGATGGAAAGGGGGTGAGGGGGCGCGTAGCGAGAAGACAAAACAGTTTAAAAGAGGAACATGATAAACAGGAGATATGGCATTCAGAAGCCACAGGGAGCACAGGGACCAGGATCCATCTAATGTTACTCATACGCTGGCACACTAGTCAGTGCACAGCCACGGATGAGTGCAGAGGACAGCTTTGTCTCATTTAGGGATGTGACATAATGTCTGTGGCTGGTTACAAGGCGAGGGAGTCAGCGGATGATTACAACTCCAGCGCTAATCATTCATGGCAATAAATACCGAGGGTCTCTGCTCCCCAACAACCCTTTTTTGTCTCCGCAAAGAGAACGTGTCGAAAGGCGGCGTCCGGTGGGAGAGTGTCGGGTCACCTTGTCGGCGGACACGGTGAACTTCTGGAGCTGGGTGTGAAGCTGTGGGTGGCCTCGCGGGGCGGCGGCGGCTAGCCGGGGCTCTGCTCCGAGCTTTCTGCTGCTGCAAAGAAAACACAGACATGTGCCTCCAATTAGGACTTACAAAAAGACCTCTCATTATGCAAGTCAGAGAGAGAGAGAAGGAGACGTAGAAGCCGGGCCGAAACGTCACCTTTCCCCCTTCCACTGATGTCCGCCGATGACATCATTGACACAGGCGGGGCCGTCTCCCGTGGGTGTGGAGGTGCGGTTTGTTGTTGGCTGCTCCTGGCTCTGTGCTCTCCTGCCGATCCCACATTTGACAGTGCTCTGTGGAGGGAAGAGTGAGAGTGAGGGTGAAAACCAAAAGACAAGAGAGCCCGACACGCGCTTGACACCTTGTGTCAGTCGCGTCTCGTCAACGAGGCGTCACAATGCGGCCGGACGACGTCGCCGCATACGACACACGGCATTCTCTCTTACAAAAGGCTGGCTCTCCAGGTCGGACTGAAGACGCGGGCTTAATCTGTTTAACAGCATCACAGTGGGCAATAAAAACGCTAAAGATGGCAGTGAAAGTTTAAATGTCTTATAATTGCTTCATGAATGAACACATTAGGTCCAACACGGTTGCCAACATGTGCTATACCACTCTGCTGACCAAAAAGAGCCACGGCAGCCTTTTTTCTTTTAAAATCCTTGACTGTCATTAAATAGCAGCAGTGTATTCTCAGCCTTAGATACAGATTTCCATGGGCTGTTTGCTCTCCCTCCAGAACTACGCAGTGGACTTTTTGTGTAGGACAATGTGCAGTAGACCTCGTCTTTGCGCGGCAATAAATTAAAGACGTCAACAGCCGCTGAGCCTCTTTTACTACGATGCTTCTCAGGTTGGCCAAAGGACTCAGGACTCAGGACACAGCGGGATGAATGTTGGTCTAGTTACCAACAACAGTCCACTGCGACAGGATCCAACAAAGGTTATTGAAGTGTATTGGGGTTTTTTTGCCTCATTTCATGACATTGAGGTGTGTGGTTTCTGTTTGTCGTCTAAAACTGTCGGGCAGCAACGAAGGTTTTTAAAAGGAACTTAAAAGGACGTGTTGTTTGTGTTGCTTAGCAAAACTCACAGGCGTGAATGTGAAACAACGCAATTAACTGTGAATTTAGTAGAGCATTCATTTTATGTGGACATTTATGTCTAAATACTTGAATAATGGAGGGCAAGCTGCGTAAATGATTTTATATAAGTTAATGTGAAAACAGCGCTGACACAAATAAGGTCTCTGCAAAAATTAACGAGGCTTCTCAGTAAAAAAAAAAGAGCGCAATAATTAATTGTTAATTAATAATAATTAATAACGCTGTTTTAAGTCGTTGCTTTAACCATGTTATTTTCTTACCGCGCTTACAAGTGAGCCAGAGAGCTGGAGAAACGTGTCGAGATGCGGCTCATTGAAGGGGTCGAAGATCATTTAGTAACACGTCAGTCATTGTGTAGTGAGCCGTTCCGACTTTCATGGAGGCCCATTTCGGTGCTAAAGCTGCAGAACCAACCAACTACTGTGACTCATTTGACAGGGTTGATAACCATCAGGGACGTCTCCTCCCCAGATATCCGCTTCCGTTCTTCATCCTTCACGGCGGCTTGACTCCGAAACAAATCATGCCCTCGACATCCAATTGCGCCGTATAAAAAGGAATTGTGGAAGCCACGGCCAAAAGGCAATGTAGATTAATGATTCGCTGCCTTTTTAATGCTGCTCTGTGCTTTTATCATCTGTGCAATCATCTCATATTTTAACGTACTCCTCCCAATCCTGGGGCTCTCCATTCTCTTATCTGCATTCTACCAATCTCTTCCCAGTGTGTCTTTCTGCAATGTGCTAAGAAGTGATGTCAGCCAGGAACCATCACTTAGCACCAAGCACATCTGGTCTGCGGCCCCGGCATCTGGCTACAATTAGTCAGAGAAACAGACGATAGACATGTTTACCTCAAGAGACCAGAGGCCACAATACCGCTGACACAGACGTGGATTACAATGTACCCTCACACAGACTATATTGAGTCAAATTGCACTAGAGACACTGCCAGAAGGAAAAATGTTGCATGTCTGCAAAAACACAGTTCATCAGCACTGGTGGAGTTAAAGCAAAGTGTCTGACAGATTCATTTTACTGGTTGAACGGTGAAACGTAATTCCGTCTTTGGGCTCCAGGGTTTTGGTTCGGTGAGACTTGTTAGTCCTTCCATAAAGCGCAACGAGAGGGGGTCCGGCCGACAGCGCACCGCTCAGCTCCCAGAGCAATAAAGGCAGCGAGCTCAGCTCCTGCCTGCCGGCGTGATGGATTCCTGTGACAGGTGGCGATGCTGCGGCGCCGTGAAATAAAAGGAACCAGTAGCACACAGAGGGTGGAATGAGTGGAAAGTCTTCTCTCATCCCAGCATCTGGGCACTTTTTCACTGGGCAAAACCAGGCCAGGCGCCCAGCGGGGACTTCACCTCAACTCAGGGTCAATAACGGGAGGGTAGCGTTGCATTATGGGATACCTCTGGGCTGAACATAAATAGCCACCGTGCATTAACTTGCAGATTGTAAAGAGATTTGAATGTGCTGCCTTAAAAGCCTAAATATACACATAATTACTGGTTTTTAACATACCACACACTTATGTTTCTGGATAGACTTCTAAACTGCGCAGGCAGTATTTCCTTGCAGGTTTATGAGCAGAGGGGGTACCAGAGCAGCGCCCACGTGTTTTATAAAAGGCTGCTCGGCCTCCAAGATGAGGAATGCCGCGTCTGAGGAATCCACATGCTCGGCGGATTATCCACTCACCCCGGGCTGACCCACAGGCCATCTATTCATATATTATTAATCCAATGACTGTGTACTTTTGTTTGAGCGATTGAAAGCCGATACTATTCTACCGTAACATTTCGGGTGGGAGGGGAATTTGCTGTGGTCCACCATTTAGCTACGTTGTACACGCTCGCCTTCACAGTATGTCATGGGAATTTGTGGAATCCTGGTACCAGGGTAAATAACAACTCCAAAAGCTCTTCCCCGTGACTCCTAAAGGCCTAAAGATTCATAACATTTATTAACTGGGGTTATTTAGGCTCAGTTCTCTACAGCACTGCTGTTTGGGTTTTAGACTCTATGCTGACTTTCATGCTGACGGGCTTCCTCACATCCTGCACGCCGGATCATCAACTATCAACTAGCTGGTAGGATGGAAAACCAGCGTTAAGTTGGTTGCCGAGGCACAAAGCAACTCCTCCTCAGCACATCTGACAGGACTCCAAAAACACAAGTCCTGCTTCTACAGTAAACCGGCTATTTTCCAAACCAAAGGACAAAGTGCGTCACATTCTGCAGCCACAGATGTCGTAGGACTTGAGGGGGCCGACGGCGCTGTTCTCTCACAGGAAAGAGCCGCAGCGCGGTTTCTCCCTCAATAGAATGAAATACCGAACCTACTCACTACGCAGCCTTTCAGACGATTCTGCTCCTCCTTCACCTCCTTTCCCATGATCCTTTGCGTCTCGGTTCCCACGTTGCACCGGGGCTCTCGGGCTGGTGTCAGGGGGTCGGCATCTTCCCTGGTGAAAGCGGAGCCGCTGGGGGGGAGCGTGGGCCCGTCCGTCCTGCGGGAGGAGCAGCGGGGAGGTTACTGTGGTGCCGACAGCAGAGCTCCAATTATGGCTCTGAAGCTTTCGACCAGTGTTTGTGTTATTTGGTTGAAATAGCCATGAAGCGCAGCTGATAAGAAGGTCGAGATGATGTCACATTTGGATATAACAATGAGAGGCTCCCAGCGTGTGAAACGTTTTGGGGAGATGTTGGGAGATGGATGTCAGAGATGTGGCCTCGAGCTTCTCCTGACCGCATTCATAAGGAGAAAAAGTGGAAAGTGTTCAAAGTTCTTTGTCCAGGTATGAGAATTGTATTGTTTTCCATTTGCCAGTCCCACACCTTGATCCAATGTTATTGAATATTCATGGTCCCCAGAGGATACAGCCTAACGATCTAATATTAATAATAAACTCCATGTATGCTGCAATTTTCGGAACAAAGTGTTGAAGGTTGATGACCTTTTAAATTTTGAACATTATTTCCAAAAATGCCACGTTTCACAAATGTCACCAACTCAGAAAGGACAGGATTGTTAAATACTTGCAGCTTGGCTTTCCAATTTTACTGCCACATTTAAATGTGTAGTCATTAAGTAGTTATTGGTTCTGATGGTCTAAAAAAAGTTGCATGATGTAAAACTCTGGACACAAAATGAAGGCTATTAAAGTAACAATAAATGATCTTACAAATGCAATAAAAATAACTGAATATTCCTGTAAACGTTGTTATATCTCGGATTCGGCAGAATAGTCAAGTGACGCCATGTTTTTCACAGTGAGAAAAAGGACAGGCTGTGTTGCCAACTTGAATCAGTGTGAACACATTATTCACCAAGTACAGTAATCAAACACATGGTCAAATTCCAAAGCAGTGCAGAAAACTGAAAATTACAACCTAAGAGAGTGTGTGGTGAGTGATCCTCTGTGTGGTGGTCGCTCTCCAGACGGACCGCTCATTCACTCTGCTTATAATCTTTCAAGCCTTTCAAGTTCAAACCCAAATCCAACAAGGCTAATCATGGGAGAGGGAGAAGCCTATATACAAATGTCCAATGGAAAAGGCTTTTCATGGAGGGTACCAGAAGAGAAATAACAGAAAAATACAGTTTTACAGCTAAGTGGAAACCCGTGGAGCCCCAATTACTAAGTGAAATGGCGCGCGTACTTACGGGGCCACCGAAGTTGTCGGCGGTACGCTCGGCCTGCTGTCTCGCCTGAAAGCCTTCTGAAGAAGCGCCCAGCAGTCCTTCACCTCGCTCTGTTTCTGCGTGACGCCGGCAGCAAGGGCGGGGTGGAGGTTTGACACCTGGGACACGCTCACATCGAGCACCTACCACACACAGGCCTGTATGTTAGGTAGAGAAGGCTTCTGCAACACACTGTCAGCATCTGAGAATGCTGCGCTGCTTCAAGTGTGGAAAAACATAACAAAAAAAAAAAAAAAGAGATTCCTACCATTATTTGACTGGCGATGTCGCGTATTTCTCGGTCTCCAAAGCCGTCCAGATCTTTGGACGCCGATATGCTTTTCCACTGAAAGAGAGGGTTTGTATCAGTGAACGTGAAAACCAGATCTAATTGGAGGAGAAACCATTAAGCATTCAGGGAATTGTACCATGTTATTAATAGCAAACAAGGTATTGTCGGCCTGTTGGTAGAAAGAGGACACCTCCAGTGCCAGCTGAAGATTTTCATGGTGGTTTTTCAGATGAGACTGGACCTTCAGCCACCTACGCAAAGGAGACCACAGACACAGATGAGCCTTCTCTCTAGATTGAAGATGTTTCATTCATCAACGTGCTCATTTTAGGTCTACATTTTGTTGATGTTTTTCCTCTTGCTGGAGATGTTTTTGACATCCGTCTTCCCTTGTTTCTCCAGCTTTAGGGCCAAGTGGTTGATCTCCTCGTGTAGGTTTCTGTACAGCTGCTCCTCCTGCAGGAAAACACAACCCAACTGACCTCAGCTGTCCCTACAATACACCCTGTCAAGTGACTTGTATTATAACTATTTACACTTGGAAATGTGTATATTTACACTTCAAGAGTGTATTGCATATCTACATTTGACTTATTATTAGCTCTCTAGCTTGTTCCATAACATCACTCACCTGCTTCAGATCTAAAATTCTCCTGGTCAGCTGCATTTTGTCAACATTTCTTCCCAGGACGTTCCCCAGAGACTGCTCCTCTTCCTGCTGGCGCACATAAACGTCGGTGTTTATAGCCCCTATTAGTTATTTTTAGAGGCACTGCGATTAAAAAACATCGGTCCTGCTATCAAGATGCTGAGCAGAAACAGCCTTCGGCATTAGGCGAGGACCTGATACTAATGCTCAAAGGGAAGGATGAGTGGAACTCAATGGAGAATGCAGTCTCCTCTGGGGATGGATGTTTAACAGACTTCATAATCATCACCCTCCATTACATTCCCACTGCTCCATTATCAATCATTAGTTCCTTTGTGTCGGAAATGAACAGAAAGGTAAACATGGACCTTAAAAGCAGATTGCTTTTTGATAATGACAGGCAGATGTTTTACACCAGCGAATACAAACAAGACAAGTCAGTTTCCTGTATTAGCAAATGCTATGTTCTTGCCCAAATGATCTGGGTCAATTTTTGGTCAGGGCTGCATGTCCAGGTGTCTCTGAGACTGGAACTGTTTTTGGTTTCAGGTGTGACATTCGGATTAAATGCTTTTGTGTTTTGAATAATAGGGGAAAGGAGGTGAAGAGATTTGAGGAGGTGATCAAAATCAGTTAAAAGTACAGTTATGAAAAAGGAGGAAATAGTTGTGTTAATTTCAATTGAAGGGCCATATGAATAATAACTCAGCCTGTTTCACAATAGTAAACATGAATAAATCAACAGAAAAGGAACACATCACGCAATTTGTAATAAATCAAAATCCCAGACAGTTAATGAAAAAGCACCAATATTGTGAAATAAATGCTTCTAGTCAACAGTTCAACACAGTTGAACCTCGGCTCTGAAAATGATGACATCCCCTGCATGCATTTAAACCCCCTTCTAAACATCAGAGGGGCGTTTTGGGTTTTTACCTTCTTTTTAATCCACGCCTCCAGCTTTTCCACCTTCTTGTTGAACTCCTGCAGGTTCTTGGCTCCGCCCAGCGCCCTCGTCTGGTTCGAGGCCGTCTGTTTCAGGGTCTGCCACTGGTCCCGGAGCTGGCTGAGCTGCTTCTTCACCAGATCAGAGGTGGGGTTCAGCTTGCAGATCAACTGCTCACCCATCTTTTGAAATAGAAAGCCAGGGCTCATTTCGGGTGCGGAGGACTAACGGGGACCGTTACATTTAACACCTCACGTTTGTCAGAGTGTCGCTGATGTGCCAGCAGGCTTCACAGATGTTGGAAAACTACCATGTATTTCTTGGAGAGCCCTTATAAAAAATCTCTCTTGGTTCTAGGTGGAGGTTAATTATCAGCAATGTACCATTTCCAAACATTTTCCCGTGAGCAAAAAAGTATAAACTGGCCTGACAGAGGCGTCTGGAACACTGAAAGTCTGCTTTTGTCTGGTTCGACTGGAAATGTCTACGAGACCATTATGTTACACGTTATGTGACCCGACAAGACTCTGACAAGACCCTGATTAAGGTCTCTACAAACTGTCATACGTTTAAATAAACATTTCCTTTAGTTTGGTTTGGTTTCCAAGTGCTCACCCTGGCAAGTTGCTGATATTTCAGCTCGCGTCCGTCCCCGTGTCGGTTCTTTTTCTCACCTGGTTGAGTTGAATTAGGATGTTCTCAAAGTCTTTGACGTCCCTCTGAAGCGTCCGCGAGGCTTCCTCCCAGTCCTGCAGGGGGCAGCGCTGAATGTTACATCCATCCTTCAAATCCTGCATCTTGCCTTTGATCCACGCCTCTGCCTTCAACACAAACACACATTAATCCTCAGCATGTGCTCGACACAGTGGACCTCAAGTTACTTCTGTTTCTAGATTCGATTCAGCTGGTTGATGAAATCACCCTTTTATTTCAAAAGGTGAACGTGAGAATGTATGAGTTGGAGAGATTAAGTAAATGATATGGTTAGTTATGCAACATGGCTGAGGATAGCGTCATTTACGCATGTTTAGGTTGTTGTACTTGCAGATATTTTTGTATAGATCAACGTTACGCATTAAAAACATGACAAAAGGATTTCTTTTGCAACATTTTCATGAGCATTCCTATCCTGGGCTTTTGCAACTGATTCTCATCTGCAGCCCGCCGGTGGTGAGATGTGGACTGTGTGACAGGTCTCTCGGCAGAGAGCTTGCGAGGGGAGCAAAAAGGGAACATCTTTTTCCCTGACTCAGAGAAACACGGCGCCTTAGACACATCCAGAACAGGGTTTTGTTCTCCGATGTCATCCTATGCAGAGCGGAGGTTTCTCTTGGCGAGTGCCGGACCTCCGCTGCGTAAGGCTTTTGTCTTGCGGAGCTGCATTTTCTGGAAACATCTGCGAGGAACTGCAAGCCAGGAGGCCAAAGCCAGAAAGTGTTGGAAAGTAAAGCACGTTTGTTTTCTGCATAGAACTCGGTGTGGAGGCGAGTGACCCGCCCAAGAGAAGTCACAATTACTGAATGGATTAATAAATCAACTCCAGTTCTTCCGCTTCTCACAGTCATACAATGGATTTTTTTATTTTCCAGTGTTGCTGTTGTGTAGAATGTCAACAAACAGCTCAGGACACAAGTGAGTTGTTATTTCTCCTCGGAATTTAGTCCAACTGACATTGAGCATTAAACTCTACAGTAAGCCCTCATTTTGATCAATAGAACATCAAAACCACACATGACACGTCCTCTAAACAACTCTTTGCTCCAGGTTCAAATGTGATGTCACATTGCCTCGGGGGAGACCGGTTTTTAACTTTAAAAGCCGCCCTCCCCGGTGCAACGGAGGCCATTCTGTGTTGAATAGAGGGAAAAGAGCTTGACAACAGGCCTGCCCTTATCTCCCATGGCATTATAATGACCTCATACAGGAAGTCCATGATTCGCTTGTTTTTTCCTGCCTCACTCTAGACAACAATTGTCTGTTTATCATAATGGGCCGTAAGGCCGGTAAGTCTGGCCACAAAGAATATGCTGCTAATGCATGCAGTTCAGATTGTGTCACTGATTCTCATTCTTTTGTGAGATTTTTTTGGGCCACACAGGAAAACATCGCTGCAGCCATCGCAGATCAGATTCTAAAATAAACTCCATGTTTGTTGATTACAATCTGTGATCGAAGACCAGGCTGCTTTTTGGAACTCAATTTGAGCATCTTAACTGGAAAACAAGTGTGCACATCTTTACCAACAAAGCCACGTTGACGGCCCCGCTAGTAATGCAACTATTCGGAGAGGGTGAAAGGCGAGATGTTTGAAGAGACGGCTTGGACACATGATGGCCCTCAGCGGGCGCTGTGCTTCTTCTCCATGTGGTGACCTTGCTTTGAAACATCAGGGGCCTTTAAAAGTCTCTCCCTGGGAAACTCACTTCCACTTCTACGGCGATGCAATACTGAAATAACACATTTTCATCAGCGATAGCAACTAGCAGCTCCCGAGGAACACTGTCAAATACAAAAAAATGACATGTTTCCTCCCAAAAGCAACAGAAATGCATGCAATGGAACGACTTGCTAGGGGGCAGTATTCAACAGGTACATACATCGCATGCTTCCTTCAACGGACACACCCGAAATGAATTTCCGATTACTGGAAACAGTAACGGGCCTGTAACGTGGATGGTTGATGACGTAGCCAACTTGCGGACAGAATGTCCCTCGGCCGAACTCACAGAAAAATGTCCTTGTCCACTGGGGTGGATGCAGCGATGAGATAACACAGCCAGTTTTGCTGCTTGGCTGAGTCTCTCTGGGCCATAGGCGTGAAGAGATGGAGCCAAACAATGATCTCATCCCGAAATAATTGCTTCACTTGTGGCGGTTTCTCCTCCCACTCTTCCCTCAGCCAAACACGGCTCACACAGTCCTCGTGACCAAATAAGAACCAGTACATATTTTGTTCTCCTCGCAGGGTCCAGCGACAGGCCGCCTCCATTCTGAATTCATCTCAGCAGCGGAGCTTCTTTTGATCAGCATTCATTTCTTTTTATCAGAGTGGATGAGCGAAGACTAACTCTGGTTTATTTTCAAAACGATTGAACACATTTCAGAAAAGCAGAAAAGTGCAGCGTTCTCAAAAAGGTTTCAGTGGTTTCCAATCATAGAACGAGCCCACAGAAAAAGTGTCAGCCGGGCAGCTGAAACCAACGCCGGGCTGACCGTGATAAACTGTTGATGAGGACACCGTGCATGCATGCCATCGCTTACCTGCAGCGCTTCCTTGTTGAAGAGCGAGTTGCGCTGAGTGAAGCTGTCGCTCTGGGACGCAACCGCTGCCGACGCTCCATTGTGTGCGTGCGCATGACTTTCTCCTCTCTGAGGCTCCTTCCGCTGCGCTTCAGGCACCGAGATCTGTGTGACACAGACGACAAAGTGTTGATAGAATGACGGCCGTTTGACTGAAACAGCAATTAAGTAAAAACCCGTCCACCAGACGACGCTTTCCTCTGATCCTATATCTATAAACTTGTTCTGACACTCGAGGTCCCTCTTAACAATGGCCCACTGTCAGCAGTGCGTGAACTGAAATGAAACACGACTGGCACTGGTCGAGCATTCCCCGCTGTTCTCCAACCAGGAAACATCTGGGCACACGAAGGAAGCCGGAATGGACAGATCCTTGGATGTCTGACGTTTTCTTTTTTACTGTCGGCCCTACATGTAAACATATCACCTTTAAAAGAACTTTGGTAGATCATGTCATACCAAAACACGTAACAGCACCGCCACCTTCTTCCCGGTGTAATTACGACCGTTTTCCAGGTATTTCCGTGAATAACACGTAAGAAGAAAGGGTACGGTTGTGGTTTAAAAAATAGGAGGTGATGTGGATGAGTACTGCAGGGTATTTTTTGTCCTAAAAGGGGAAATGAGGCCATTGCTCCGTCAGTATGTTATTATAAGCAGCCTCCATGAGGACTCAAGCCTTTTCTTTTGTTAACATCTTCCCTGACCTCATGTTTTCCAGTGAGCGCTGCCTCTGCACGGTCTGCTGTAACTGAGCACTTCATCCACGACACACGCCGATGACTTCAACGAGGAACAGGCCAAATCCAACAGCCTTTAAACAGTATATCCTGCAATACGTACACTGTTTACTCCTCTTTACTACGTTGCAGTGAAACAAGAGCACAAGTTGCTGTCAGAACTTCTCCACCTCTGTGTGACATTGCTCCATCTTTATAACATGATGAAGTGGTGAGGTTTGGCCCTCACAGCGCGTGACGTAACTTCCTGAGAGATCAATTCCGCAGCTAACGTTAAAACAGGCCGCAAAACAAATGCACTTTGAATAAAATTGGGAAATACGGAACAATTATCATGAAGAAAACAGCCAATATGAAAAAAGTATACATTTGGGATTTTTTAAAATTAAATTTGTATTTACCGAGATAAAAAACACGAAGTTGTTTTTAGCTAACGTTAGCTGTTTGTCGGTTTACATTAGCACTCAGCTAATTAAGCTAACGTTAGCATCCTAGCCGTTACCTGTTGGTCGGGTTTCTCTGCCCTCAGTCGCAGGCTGGTTTGTCCCCCGGAGGACTGGAGGTCATCGCTCCGGTCTCTACGGAGTAAAACCTAAAACATTAAGCGAAGGGAAATGAGCGAACGGGCCGTGGACACGTCGGACATGAAGACACGAGTAGTGCAATGCGAAAATAATAATCAGGACAATAAATATCGATCACGTGCTGCAAGTGCTAAGTAACATTTTTTTAAATAATACGTCATGAATCCGTATCTCTAAAATATCTAACGTTAGTTGTTAAAGATGGTGTGAATGGACACAGTGGGCTCTTCTAATTGTGCTGGATGTTGATAAAATGAGGGGAAATGTCTACTTGTAATGCTGACTTTGAGGTTGATGTCTTGAATTCTGTTGAAATAATTATAAAACCAGTGTTCCACATTTCTTTGAAGCTGTATATACTCTACGTATAATGTTTCTTTGAGTACAATTTTAGTAAAATTAATATATGCAATATTGAAAAGAAAACCCTACGTCTGAGTGATAACATATTATTTTATTGGCATATTGACGTAAGTCCTGTACCTTGAAGTGAGAACTGGGCTTATTCTCACAACTCAGTCCCACAATCCTGGGCAGATGTGCTTCTGATGTTCTGGTGACGTTGTTGTTGTTATTGTTGTTTTCAGATGTGGACCCCGGCACGGAAAGCTGCAGCACCTTGTCCTGTGAAATGTCCTTACTCCCAGAGATGGTGATCTTCTTGATGGACCTTGAGACAGGAGAGGGAGAGGCGACATTCCGGTTCAGGTCGTCCTCGGCGGCCATGTCCTCCTGATTGTGTTTCGCGGGTGCTACCTGCTTCGCGGCGGGGGACGCCAGACAGGGGCCGCGTGCGCAGACCTGGGGCCGACTGAGGTAGAGCGAGTTCAGGTTGTGTTGCAGAGGGCAGTTATCCAGGCTCTGCTGGCTCTGCAGGTAACTCTGTGTAAACTCCTGGCATTTTGGCACCGCCGGGACTGAGAGTCTCGTCCCAATGGTGAAGGGCTGGACCTTCCTCACAATGCTTTCAGACATTGCAATGTCCAGGTGAGAAAAAAAATATACGTTGAAGTCCAAACGGGAATAAAAAATGTTTTTTTTAAAAAGCGTGTCACATCCCTTTGCACGCACACCAAGCAGCTCCGTGGGTCCAGTCTCTGTCCAACTGGCAAGTGGAGGGCTGAACAGAAAGTGGAGGGAGAGCTCAGTTCTCCACCTTCTTGTGCATATTGAGAATGCACAGCACGCAGCCCAGGACGGCTTCCTTGGACTCCTGGGATCGAATGCGGTCCCAGACGTGGCGCAGCGCCGTGCCAAGGTGGGCAGCGCCCGTAGAGAGGCTTCTCCTGAGGAACTGTGCCACCGAGCCTGCCAGTCTGCTACTGAGGAGCCTGATAACCAGGGACCGCAGCAAGATGAAAACTGCTGGCATGCTGCCTGACTGTGCTGCGAAAAACTGCAAAGAAAAAAAAAAAGGAAACTGAAAAAAAAAAAGGAGGGGGAAAGAGGAGGGTTGGTTAGGAGAGGGATGAAGTCACCGCTCTCTCTGTCTCTCGTTCTCTGTCAGCGGTGACTGAGTGTTAGAGGGGGGCTGACAAAACCTCCCCTCTGAACCCGGACACAAAATATGTCCAGATAAGAGCCGAGAAATGGAGTCAGAGGGAAAAGACCTCTGTCCGACCTCTTCAATCACAACTTGCCCTCTGTGAGGTAATATCCTCAGCTGAAACAAAGTCTCACACACACACGCACACACACACTCGCCTTACCTCTACTTTGAAGTGCGCAGGAACAGATTCAGCCCTTGGGTGTTTTTGCTTTACAAGAGCAAAAAAAAATAAAAAATCAAGCCTTTAACACTCAGCAGACTTTAAAATAAAATCCAGTTTCAAATCTGAGCAGAGTGTGAGCTTGAGATGCGTGTGTGAGCGCCGTCTGTCTGCAAGTGAGAGTGTGCTCTCCTCAGCTCCGAGCCTCTCCCCATCGGCCAGGAGCAGTTGTCGCTCAGGTTCCAGCTGAACGCGACAGCCCTGCCGCTCCTTAAACCGCCGCGCTGCTGGCGTGACAAGTGTGTGTGTCTGTGTGTGTGTGTGTGTGTGTGTGTGTGGTGGACGGGGGGCAAATTGCAGTCGAGCAGATGATGACCCCCCTGCCACTCCTTCTCGATGGTGGTGGCGAGGGTTCAACAGAGCACATGTTGGGATGACGGACTGGAATGGCAGGGGGTGGCGTGCGTGCGTGTGTCAGGGGAGTGGGGATTACTGGGCAGAGCAGACAGCGGAGGGGGGGTAAATATTTTTGCAGGGAGCAAAGCGGAGAATCTGCCTCGACTGGTGAAAGCTTTCCCCCCAAAAAAGGAAACTCTCCCTCTTCACTCGGCTGCTCCCTGACTTGACCCCGGCACCTGGTTGCAGTAGCTGCTCAAACTACTCGCAACAAAGATACTCCTTGTTTTTTACTTTTAAAGTTCCCAAAATAGATCCTCACATGGTAGAACTACATGAAATGTAGAAACAGAAACATGAATGACATGTGTTCAGCGTTTGATTCGGGCTTGAACAGGCGGCAGCGGGGTCGACATGGTTAATGGCGCTTTTAAGAGAGCTCCGCTTTCACGATGAGGTCATCTGAGGAAGAGTTTAATGTGTTGCAGCTTGAAATCAGAGATAAATCGTGCGCAGGCTGGGTGGTGTTCACGGAAGGCTGCATGGGTGGAGTTCAAGGGTTTTGGCTGACGTTAAAATGCCATTTCCTCATATTGCTGGGCTCTAAAAGTGTGCAAGCAGTGGGTACACTGTGTGACTGGGACACCGCCGCAGGCCAAAATGTTGTTTGTGTTCAGATGGAACAGTTAAAAATGGGTGTAATTTTTGATCTAGAATTGTTATGTACCAGAAGGCAATACATATAAATACATGTGTAATGATAGTCGTTCTGTGTCAAGTTGACATGAAGAAATGGTGACGTGAATACTGCAATCCAAAGTTTAGCCCAGAATTTAACAATCATGTGCAACACCTTAGGATATATATATATACATATATATATATATATATATACATATATACATATATACATATATATATATATACATATATACATATATATATATATACACATATATATATATGTATGTATATATATATATATATATACATATATATACATATATATATATATATACATATATATATACATATATATATATATATATATATATATATATATATACATATATATATATATATATATGTATATATATACAGAGCACTTCATGATGATGGAAATTATAGCAATCATTAGTTTTAGCCAACCATTAAACAGAAGTAGCTCTTTTAGCTTAGCAGTCTTTGAGACACTTTGCGTACCACAAACAAAAGACGTTGACACCTCACAGACTTCCTTCAAGCTACTAACAAATCAGATACAACCAGTTTCAGCACAGTGACATTTACGCTTATTTTATATCAGTAAGCACTGAGGGAGAGCCAGCATGCCACTAGCTTAGCATGGGAAAATGGTCATGCAAGGGCAGGAAATCAATCAAATCAATGCTCCCATTTAGCTCCAGCTATAATGTAAGATTTGCTAAAAGTTCAATGTACACTTATTATCCGTTAATAACTTAACTGTAAGTTTAAGTGAAATGATTTCATGAAAGTCATTCTTTCGTCTTTGAACTGAACACGTTTTGTGTAAAGCCCGTTTTCCACTTGGCTTGTAAACATTTATAATGGATGGAAGGTTGCTTGCCCACGGAGTCGGTGTCTAATTAGATTCAAACCAGCTGTCCAACCTCTACTAACCGAGTCAGATTAGGCTACTGTAACACCTTCCGTATGTTGTTTACCCCGGAAGTCCCGCCTCCCTCCTCGCAGCTCTCATCCACACCGCGTGCGCAGCGTTGAGCCGTCACGGATCGTTCAAACCTCCGCCCTTCATCTGAGAGCTTTTCACTTGTGCCATCTTCCTCGCTGTTAAAGACGGGCCCGGTGGCTGATATCGTTCCCTCCCAAGATGATAATAAAACCCTGATGCTTTCTCACCACAGGCGCTGGTTGTTGATCGCCCTCGTTAGGTATCTTCCGTTTTATAAGAGTCAGTAAATACAACTTTGAAGACTCGCTCAAGGGGTGATGTCATCGAGGCAAACCGCATGAAAGGAAAGTGATCTTCATGGGGGCAAGAAGGGGTCTGTACTTTTCCACTTGGTGTATGTCATCGCAAAGGCATGATCGGCCTCCTGGACGAGTTTCTCTACAGATAACATTGAGTTTTAGCTCTGGATTGTGATCAAGAAAAAAGATTTACATTTAAATTATATTCTGTCAGGCGTAACTGGGTTGAGCATTCAGAGATCTCAACATATCTGAAAAATGCTAGATTCAAAAACATCAATGTAACTTTTGTCATTAAAATCAAGTCAAGTGTTTATTACTTTTATAGTCTCGGTTGTATTTTTTCATTTTGAATGCCAGGTCTGGATCTTCATCAAAATGTAATACTTTTTGCTGTGGCCCAAACTGCTTTTTTTTTCTTTTTATGAGCAGGACAGACAGAGCTTAATTAAACAGACTCAACACGTCTTTGCCCATACGTTTTAAAGCAAGTTAAACCAGTTTAGCTGTTTCTTTATAATAGAAGGAGACACACAACCTTAAGAGAAAATTATGAATGACCATAAAAACAAAGACTTCAAGTCAATTGAGGCAACGAAATGAGGCACATTCATCTGTTCATCTAAATAGAATCAACAAATTCAAATTCCTTTGCTATTTGCTCACAAGTCTGAAACCACATCTTGTCAATGACCCATCCTCCCTCAGAAGGCTCGCCCGCGTGCGTTTGCACTCAAGCCACTGAAGCGAATACGCAGCATTAACAATGAAATCATCTGTGCTTGAAAAAAACAACATGACAGCTGCAGTTTATGGACATCGAAAAAATACAAACAGACACAAGAGGTGTTTTTGTGTAAAACTTTAAAAAAAACTTTTACCCAGCCCAAATCTATACAGCTCGAGGCCACAACGCAGTTGATGACATGACAAGCTTAGAAACATAAAAGCCTTGAAACCTGTCAACTAGAGCAGTAACCCATTTAATCACTGATTTTATTCTAATGTAATTGTGGTTTCCACACTCGCCTGAGGCTGTTTGACCTAATGAGACTGCATGCTTCTCACCTGACGTCCACACACACCTGTGGCGCTTCGTCCTGGGAGTCCTGTTTCACGTGTCTCTTCTGAGCGTGTCCACTCTCATCTCAACCATCAAGCGCCATGACATCATATGTAACGAAATGCCATCGGAGTTAGTCAGTGCTCATTATTTGGAGAGAGACAGGGAGCCAAGTTTGTCACACAGCAGAAAGAGGCAAGCAGAGACAATGCATCCCAACCGTCTGCCATGACGTGTGTATTCTTCGTCTCTCAAACCGCGGCGGGCGGTGGTCCAAAAAACTAAAAGCGGAGTCGCTTGTTATAACAGTGCTGCACTGACAGCCCTGGCCTCCTTCTGCAGCATTGCTCAATGTAAACACTCAACCTGTAATATTTGTTCTGTTTGTGTTTCCAGGCCAGGTGGTGACAGATTTTCATCCGTGGGAGCGTTTGTCCTCAACAAGTACAAGGGTCACTGGGAATGGCTGACTTGTCTCCCTTCACTTCTAGTTTTGGAATTTAAAGAATACACGCTGACGGCACGTCTTCAAGGATGGCAGTGATGGTTCTGACAGATATATCTCAACAACAACAACAACAACAGGTGCAATTAGGATGCATGGTCCTCAGTGGGGGGACCCAATTGATTTAGGTGATCCCATGATTTTGTTTCCCCTACTACCACCATTGCAAGGTTGACACACTTTTTTGCTTAAGTTCATGCCCCTCTGAGTATCAGTTGTTGTAAATTTGGCATCCCATAACTTTATCTGGCACCAACATCACGTCGTAAATGCAATGACCAAATACCTTGAAAAACAATGTATTTCAGCCTCAGATGCCCGTTGTGTTTAAGCAAAGTAACAAATATAAGCATACATATGTGCTAGTGATATGGTCAGCGGGGCTTCAAAGTTTAGCCAAAAGCTCAAAGTTATTTAAAGGTGCATACATTTCTGTAATTGAAAAGGAAGCTATAAAGTGCTGCAGATCAGTGTTACAGCGCTGGAGGCACAGTATGCAGGGACACACTGTGTCACACAGGCC